GTCTCAACGTGATAATTTCTTAGTAAGTTGCTTACATGCCCGATCATATGACGCTCATGCTGAAATTTATCTACCTCCATATAGCCAAACACTTTAATATTATGTTTAGTTACAAATTCACGCTACAGAGTTCGTTTTTATTTTCCTTTTTCTAATGGATTGAAGGAGGGAAATTGGAACTTTATTAAAATATAAAAAAGAAACCCATGCATTCAAATGTTTGTGTGGCCCAAATGTAAAAGCCCACATTTGTTTGAATGCTGCTTAAACCCTAACAAGCCAGTACGACGGTGTTCTTTCACTCTGTGATCTCCTCTCACTCTCTCTCCCAAATCCCCCGTCCCTCATTTCACATACGCTCACCCTCTGCCATGTCATCAATGGCGTACATTTCTCTCTCAAAACCCTACCGATGGCGACCTCGACCCTCCAATCCTCAGTCCCTCACGCTCCTCCGCCTCTTCAGCTCAACCGAATCCCCCACCGGAGCCACAGCGGCAACCGAGTCCGCCACTGAAGCCACAGCGGCAACCGAAGCTGTAGCCGCCGCCGAAGCAGCAGCCCCAGCCCAGACCCGTGTCCCAAAACCTAAGCAGCACCGTCATCGAAACCCAGAGAAGACAGAGGACATAATCTGCAGAATGATGGCGAATCGGGCCTGGACGACCCGGTTGCAGAACTCGATCCGGAACTTGGTACCCGAATTCGACCACAACCTTGTGTGGAATGTCTTGCACGGCGCTCGGAACTGGGAGCACGCCCTCCAATTCTTCAGGTGGGTTGAGCGGTCCGGATTATTCAAACACGACCGCGAGACCCATTTGAAGATTATTGAGATTCTGGGCCGGAATTTGAAGCTCAACCATGCCCGGTGCATCCTTCTGGACATGCCGAAAAAGGGCGTGCAACTCGACGAGGACCTCTTCCTTGCACTCATTGATGGCTACGGCAAGGCGGGCTATGGTAAGGCTGGCATTATTCAGGAGTCTGTTAAGTTGTTTGATAGTATGAAGGAATTGGGTGTGCAGAGAAGTCTCAAGTCCTATGAGGCTCTCTTTAAGGCCATTATGCGCCGCGGCCGGTATATGATGGCTAAGAGGTATTTTAATGCAATGTTGAGTGAGGGAATAGAGCCCGATAGGCATACTTATAATGTTATGATTTGGGGTTTCTTCATGAGCAAGAGGTTAGAGACCGCCAAGCGGTTTTATGAGGATATGAAGAGTAGAGGAATTTCCCCCGATCTGGTTACTTATAACACTATGATTCATGGGTACAATCGGTTTAAGATGATGGATGAGGCAGAGCAGTTGTTTGTGGAGTTGAAGGGGAGGAATATAGAACCTAATGTGATATGCTATACTACCATGATTAAAGGGTATGTTGATGTTGGGAGAGTTGATGATGCTTTGAGGTTGTTTCAAGAGATGAAGTCTTTTGGTATTAAGCCGAATGCTGTCACATTTTCAACTCTGTTGCCGGGGCTTTGTGAGGCTGAGAAAAAGGATGAAGCTGTGAACATGTTAAAGGAGATGGTTCAGAGGTATATTGCTCCCAAGGATAATGCAATCTTTGAGAAATTGCTAACTTTGATGTGCAAATCTGGGGATTTGGATTCAGCTGCTGATGTCCTCAAGGCAATGATTCGGCTGAGCATTCCCACAGAGCCTGGTCATTATGGTATCCTGATTGAGAACTTTTGCAAGGCTGGAGTTTATGATCGAGCAATCAAGCTGCTTGATAAGCTTATTGAGAAAGAAATTATTTTGAGGCCCCAGAGTTCTATCGAGTTGGAGGCTAGTGCTTATAACCCAATGATTGAGCATCTGTGCAACCATGGGCAGACTGAAAAAGCTGAAGTCTTTTTCCGGCAGTTGATGAAAAAGGGTGTTCAGGATTCAGTTGCCTTCAATAATTTGATGTGTGGGCATGCGAAAGAAGGAAATTCTGATTCTGCTTTTGAGATTTTAAGGATCATGGGTAGGAGAGGGGTCCCTGGAGAAGCAGATTCTTACAGGTTACTCATTAACAGCTACTTGAGTAAAGGTGAACCGGCTGATGCCAAAACAGCTTTGGACAGTATGCTTGAAAGCGGGCATATTCCAGAGTCACCACTATTCAGGTCAGTTTTAGAGAGTCTATTTGAAGATGGGAGGGTTCAAACTGCAAGCCGAGTAATGAAGAGTATGGTAGAGAAGGGGGTGAAGGAGAACATGGATTTGGTTGCCAAGATTTTGGAAGCCCTCTTTATGAGAGGTCATGTTGAGGAAGCGCTGGGACGAATCGATCTACTTATGCAAAGTGGATGTACACCTCAGTTTGATAGCCTTTTATCTGTTCTTGCTGAGAAAGGGAAAACAATTGGCGCCCTCAAGCTGTTGGATTTTTGCCTCGAGAGAGATTGCAGTGTAGATTTCTCAAGCTATGATAAGGTGTTGGATGCTCTCTTGGAAGCAGGGAAGACTCTTAATGCATACTCAATATTGTGTAAAATAATGGAGAAAGGAGAGGCCTCCGATTGGAGTAGCACCAAAGATTTGATTAAGAGCCTAAATCAAGAGGGTAACACGAAACAAGCAGATATCCTCTCCAGAATGATAAAGGGAGGGGAGAAAAGCGGTCAGAGCAAAAAAGGAAAGAAAGAAGCTGTTGTTGCTTCCTGATTTGGCATATCTTCATAAGCAAGCCTTGAAGGAACTAGAAGGAGATGCCCATTGAACTTGTTAAATTCCGCATTGGCGCTTGTGATGGGTGCTGGGCATTCGGAAACAACAGGAAGGACAGTGCTTAGTCGGAGTTGTACTAAGCCGCATTAGTTTTTGGTATAGGTGAGATTTTCCTTTTTATTCGCCGGTTTCATTGTTACTTTGTTGGTTGCAACAATGTTTTTGTGCCTTGCAAGTTGAAAGTTTTGTTACCGAATTCAAATAACGCGGATCCTGTTCATAGTTATGCTGTTGTTACCATACTCTCAAATTGCTGTGACATTGTATTGGGAAGTTATTACCCCTTTGCTTTTTCTGGAGGGCAAAGAATGAACAATTCTAAAGACCTTGAATAATTATGTTCCGCAATCCTTTATTGTTTCAATCGATGTTTATGTATAAAACGAACTGAGATTATTAAGTGCGAGTGAAGGACGATATGTTTATCCAATCAAAGTTTGAAACAGTACGTGTTGAGTAATCGAAGCCCATACAAAACATAGCAATACAGAATCCAAAGTTAAACCACAATGGGGATGGTGCCTAACAAGTAATAAGAGATTAAAAAGCAATCGCGTTTATCCAGTAATTTCTTCTTCTTCTTCTTCTTCTTCATCCTGATGATCCTCGTCGTCGAACATGATTCTTCTTTGTTTCCCGGAGGGTGTGTCGTTGGGGGTTTGACTGGTGTCGGAAATTCATCGACTTTAACAAACGTCATCCCAAAAGGGTTTCTTTCTTTTTCATCACAACCGAAAAACCGATCGTTAGCGGCAAGGAGCTTATTACTCAGCTGACTAAGTGCATTCACTTCTGCGTCTGCATCCGAGGTCTCTAGTTCGAATTCACTATCCCACGATATTTTTTGCATAAAAGAATGATAATCAACGGGGTGTTGATGATCACCTCCAGAAGAGTACTCTTTTCGAAAAGGGTCGTCCGTTGGATTGGACGTGGGAAAGTTAACTGTTTCCTCAAAACTAGTATTGGGGGGATTCAACGTGGGAAACTCAAAATCTTCACCCGTATCTACGTCCTGCCCGCGGGGACTTTGAATAACGCCCACGTCACCGTCGAAAGCAAAAGATTCAGCAGCGAGATTGTCGTCTTGATGGAACAATTCGTTTGAAACTTGAACAGCATCATCGTCAATTCTTGCATGGTTTTTCGGAGGAATGGTTGGACGAGGGCTTGAAGATTGTCGGAAGCTCAATTTCTTTGTCTTCTTCGGAGAAAATTGAGGTTCCACCTTAAAACCGAGCGGAAATATAGACTGTAGCCTGACATTTTTCATCATCTTCTTCGTCTTCTTCATCATACCACTGAAGATATTTCTTTTCTTTTCGGAATTAGGAGTAGTGACGAACTCATCGGACATGGGAAGTTTGTATCTAGGAGATGACTCAAGTTCTTCGACCATATTTACTTGACTTGTAAACAGTTCACAAGCCAACATGTTGGAGCACTTGAAAAACAAAGTTAGATCAATATATTGTTTTTGATTCTCTAAGTTCATATATATATATATATAGCTTGCAAAGGCGCTAATCTCACCTAATCTTTCTTAGTTCTTGTTGCCTATATTGCGTAGGTTTCCTCTTTTGTTTTTGTCCTCTTGGCTCCCTTTCTCTTTCAGGGAAGTTTTAATCACAAAATTCCCTCCGGGAATGGGTTTCCTCTTTTGTATTTGCGCGACACAGAAAGGAAACAATACCCAGAGTTTGACCGGATTTGACCGGAGTCAATTCCTTCAGTCAGGCGGAAAAGAAATACCGCCAGATGGGTGGTATTTCTATTAATTACTAAACAATTCAGAATGCATCAATTTTATCTGACGGATGCATTTTTGCTCATCGTCCTATGTATTATTATTGAATGAGTTCAAATAGTAGTTGTATGTGTGATACACACACATGCTACTTAATAAAATGTGCCGACTTATAATTAGAACATGAATATGTGAAGCTGTTTGAGATTTTGAAAATTTGGATATGTTGATTATTGTACCATAATAAGTTTGTATTGTTAATCTCTCTATTAGAATTTTATCATTTTTTTACTCGACAAGAGGGTAGTCTATGAAAACTAGCAATTGTACACGTGCTATGCAAGTGTTTATTTAAATTTGAATTTTTTTTTTTAATATCATGGTATTGGGCATATGCTTGTCATTTTCAATTCGACAAGAGTGTCAATATCCTGGTATTGGGCAGTTGTGTTCGTGTTTGGATTTTCCCACATGCTAGCTTAACAGATCGTTTCATGTAAAACCATTTAGGAAAAAAACCTGAAAACAAAAGAACGACGACAGACTGCAAAATTCAACAGGGTGCTCAACTGTAATGCAATGCGGGAACACCATCAGCATCCAAAACTGAACGAATTTACATCATTGACGGAAACCATCCATCCATCCATCGTTAAGATCCAAAACATTCATTAGGTCTAACTAAATTTATATCACAATCTTTACAAGATACTCTAATCCTCTTCTTCCCCTAGATGTTAAATGTCACCCTCCTCCTTGCTTACGACCTGTTTTCCCTTGCATCCATCTGTTGCAATGGCGAGAAGATCTGTGTACTTCTCACTTGCGCTTCGGTTTCACAACTGTCAACTGCAGATGGATCACTGCCTCCTACATTAGCAGATGAACACGGAATCTCATTATCTTTTGCACTTTTTCTCTCTTCAGCTTTTACACCTGTGACAGCTTTACTATCAGTTTCATCACTTTCGACCTTCAGTGAATCAACGGGATTTTCAGCATTGGTTGACAAATTTTTTGAGTGAGCTTTCTGGTCAGGTGATTTATCCTTTTGAACTCGGTCATTCGGTCCATCCCTAGAGATCACTGCTCCATCTTGGATCTGATCTGTCGGAGCACAGCCCGGCTCAGCATCCAGGTTACAGCTAACACCATTGGTCTGTCTGGATAACATTGCGTCACTGGTTGGAGTGTGCTGACTTGCCTGAGGAAGAACTTTTGAAGACCGAGGGCGTGTGGTGCCAGGTGTGGCAGCAGTGGATGAAGGGGTGGAAAGTGGCGTAGCAGCCGAGCTGCTACGCATTATATGTACATTAGGGGGAAGTTCTGAGTGGGTAGACATGCCGCCAGGTTTAACAGATTGGGTAGAAGAACCACTTGTAGGCATGATATGGACAGCATTCTTCGCCTGAGCAGCCTTGAGAAGTGATGCAGCATCTGAAGGAAAAGCAATGCGTGCCCCAGCAGCGACCGCAGCGGCTCTTACCATACTATCAGTAAGCTTCGGTATAGTCTTTTTGGCGATCACTGGAGCTTTTGTTGTGGAACCCGACAATCCTGTTTGATATGTTTTCACTGGGTTAAGGCCTTGCTGGGACTGCGGTTTTGCTTCAGCAGTAGTACAATGCACAGAGTTGCTAGTTGCATTTGTTCCAGCAAGCTTGCTGTGTGTACTTGTCCCAGCTGTTTACATGAATACTGTTAGTTACAGATTGACATAGTACTAAATAAATTAAGTAAAAATGTCAATAAAAATCAAAGAGATAAGAAACCAATCAAAACATTCACAACGGATTCAGCAATTAAGGTGCCAAAAAATCACCCACATCCACGGAAAAGCCAAGACTTCAAAAACAGGGGTGAAGACAATCCCAAAAATAGCAGAGTGATCAATAGATAATGCAGCAGCTAAAATATTAAAATATCTTGACAGTTTATGCACATCCATAATTTAAAAGGCAAAAAGAAAATCTTCGTTGGCAATGGCATTAAGAAAGTCAAGTGTTATGTTATTATAAGACTTTCAAAATACTTCTAGTATAATATGCAGAAACAATAAAACGTATCCATTTTTCCCTTTACTCTAGGACTCGCTATTGGGAACCAAAGAAGTTCAAATGGAACTCAAGAGTTCCTTGAAAATCTGCAGGATTTCATGGAAGCAACTTAAGAATTATATGTACTTTCCTGTAAACTAAAAACAGCATAGATGGGAGAGAGAATCACCGGTGCCAATTGTATTAGCTGTGATGTTAGGCATATTCAGGGCTACGGACAATGAATGACGAGCTGCCAACTGTGCTTCTGAAAGTTTACTACTTGAGCCGCCTCCAACATTCAAGTCTAGATTATTCTTCCTAATATTTTTCCACCTCTGTAATATAAACCCACAAAAATAGTAGGAACAAAACACATTAGTGCACATTTTTTTTTTAAGAAGAAACAAATTTTTATTGCAAAGAAAAAATAAATATACAAGAAAGGACAAGAAGTCCACAAAATCACAAACAATCCACAAAATCACAAACAAAAACAGGATATATAGCAACATCGCCCTGAAACTTAGAAACAACGAAAACTCAACATAACATTAGTGCACATTCATTCTTCTAATCACAACCAAAAGAAAAATAGTTGGAACACATGCATAGCTTGAAATGAACTGCCCATGACCTATTCATAATTCATAAGATTTAACATAATATATTCATATACGAAAAATGGAAATCTGTTGCCGGGATTTGAACCCGGGAAACCTGGGTAAAACCCAGACATCTAACCGAACTAGATGACAACAGACTGGTTTACTAATATGGCCTCAATTTGAATGCACTGGAAAAGTCATCAGTATTATTTATACACAGTTGCTAGATGTGCAATTACATCTATATGGCAGCTACACAACTCCACCATTGAAGAATCTTCAGAGTCTATGCTTTAATCAATTCAGCTTAACTTCGATAATATACATAAATCAATCACTAATATTAACTCATGAATCAACAACGCAATTTATTCAAAAATTGTCAAATAATGTATGGCTTCAAACTGAGTTTTCATTATACTAGCACATCGACACGAGCTACAAATGAAGTACGGAGTATAGCAAAGAAGTGGCATAATGTCATACCTTTAATGGTCACATAAATGATGATGTGTTTGTGTAGAAAACATAACCAGATTATTATGTGCAAGTAAAGGTTGATATGTTTATCCAGTTCTTATTTCAGTCTCCAACTCCACTCCAATATGACAATATGACAACTAGACTATAAATTCAACAAATATAAACAAAACTTATCCAAGTACAAATCCTCGAGTCCAATTACATCACTTTAAATGAAAAAAACCAAGGGATTCTCTTTTCCAAAGTATAAAATAGATAAAAGGACCAGAGCCAAGGGATAATTCAAACTCTAGGTCATCTTCTGGAAAAATTATTTTTTTCAAAAAAAACAAATAAGGGAAAAGGAACCTCGAGTAAATTAGAATGCCAACTAATTAATTCCCCTCTAATACTAAGGGCATAGACAGAGTGATTAATGGCCCAAAAACCAAATAACACTCCCACCCACTTTGACTACAAGACAAGTTGGGAAAAGAATATAAACGTATATATTTTTTCGTTTATATTAATTTAAGTCATTTAGAGCAGTCGGCATTAAACTCTACATCTCTTTATGTTAATTTATTTCATTCTTAGATGTCATCTATGCTTCAGTCTATTTTTAGAAGTCGTTTCACAGTTAGTTTTAAGTTTATTATGATTCTTCTTCTACTGCAAACTGGGTCTTCAAGTACTTTTGGAAGTCATTTCGTGCCTAGTAAACCATAATCATAAGCATCTTGTTTATGTTGTTCATTTCTCTAAACTTCGGCAGGTTTACTAAAAGTATCTGTAATTTCTACCATCAACCAACCATAATTATAAGCATCATGCTCATGTTCATTTGTATTTTTTTTTTTTTTTGGGGAATTCTTTATGCTGCTTTGGATGCATCATATTACAAATAGAGATGGGAAAGAATAATGAACCAAAACATGAAAAGAAACAACAATAAAGCCAAAACATAAGTCTTGCGGTGACAGAAAAAAAAAAAACCTGAGCTAGCTGACTAGGTGTTCTGTCCCCTTTGAAATCTCCTCGTAAGATATTTGCCCAATTTCCTTCCCCATATTTCTGGACAGCAGCAATCAGCTCCAAATCTTCAGCCTCAGACCACTTCTTTCTTCTTTTTCGAGGAGCCATGCCATTTCCTAATGCATCATCTCCTTCAATAGTTTCCACTGTAGATGCTGCCACTGCAGGGAGGGGATTTTTCAGAACCGAAATTGGAACTGTAATGTTCTTCCCTTGCATTGAACATGCTGCTTGTGAATTTTGATGAGATCTAGATGACTGGCCATTGGGTAAATTCATTGATAACGGACCCTCAACAGTTAAACCATTCTGATGACTTGCATCACTTGATAAACCAGATGAAATTAGAACCTGGCCAAGAAAATAAACCATTTCAACAAGATAAGCTGGCTGGATCTTTAAACCAGTAAGGTAGAAAATAATCAAGAGATTATACAAATGTAATCTGTAATGTTTTTTATAGGAGACAAATTCCTTAAAGAGGGGGAAAAAAGTAGCACAAAAAGGTGTGAAGAGATTAAGACAGCACCAACAACCTTCAAAACATCAGAGTTCTAGCAAACAAACAAACCCCACCACAAAACGGATGCTAGAAAATTGCAGATGAAGAATTAACCCTAAACTCTAAAGCAATAAAAGCCCCTAGAGATGCCAAAAAATGAACCTTCATCTCCACCAAAATTCTACAAAGAATAGCAACCACCACCAGACTCGCCACACACATCTTCACACTTACGCCTCTCACAAAATAAAGTCAACAAATATAAGGCATGCCAAGAACAGCTTGTAAACCATGATTAGGTACCTAGAAGATTGAAAAGACCACATAATTTTTCATGTTCTCCCTCCATGGCTCCTTGGCATGGACCAGAAGTTGGGATGCACGGGATTTGTGTTGAAATCTATGCAGACTTTAAAATAATTACAGCTGATATAAGGCCAGATTCACATAGAAAGGGCAAGTGCAACATACTTGTGCGAAACTGGACATACCCAGGTCAAAACATAATCAAATGCCATTGGAGTTCCTACGTTCAATCCACCATTCTGCTTGCCTATTGACAGAGTACAATTCCTTGACCCAATGATGCAAAAGCAGTTGCTTGGTTGGACAAAATTCATCCATATAGCCAGACAGTAAAGAAAGTTTTACAATCTCAAAAAAGACTTCTCGGTCCAAAAATAGTTGCATAGTAAATTGTTATAATATCAGTGTTATATATTTTAAACAAGTCGATTGTTTGAGATGAGCTACAACAAGCCTGTTTTGAAGTTTCTAATATATGTTGCAGTGCTGCGCATTATAAGTGATCCTTTGAGTTAATTTGTTTGGAACTTAGGAGTCTAAGGCATATCCTACTCCTACTACTAGGAAAAGGAAAAGGTAAACAAGTGTGAGACCACCTTAACCCAGTATCCATGTTGCGGGACAACCGTTAGATGTTGATCACATGCTTTCTCATTTATATAGCTCAGGTGAAATATCTTTATGCATACTGGAATTAGAAACGATAAAAGGAGGATTTCGAAAGAACCAGAAGAGCAGTTTGAATGTTCATGCAATCAGAAAAGGTGGCTTCAGCAGGGAACTATAAGGCTCTATTTGGATGGACAATTTGGAACAAAAAAAAAGGATTTGGATTTGAAACAAGGCTAAATTTGCTATGAAAACTATAAAGCGTTAGATTGAATGTATTTGAAATAGTTACATCAAGGAAATTTTTTTTTTCTTCTCCCTTTTATTCTAAACATATAGCCGACCCCACTTAGTGGGAAAAGGCTTTGTTGTTGTTGTTGTTTTATTCTAAACATACAGCATTAACCTCCATATTGATTTCTAAATTCCCAGATTTATGGTTCATTTGGCACTGCTTTTGGAACAGCTAAAGATGCTTTCAAATAGCCAAAAGCATTTCCAGCAACCTTGGCAGAAAAACTAAAATCGCTTCTGGATTATAAGCAATTTTTGGTGCTTTCTGCAGAAGCTCCAGGCACCTCTTCAGGTAGCATTTCAATGTGCTTGGAGTGCTTTCTTTAACAAATAAAATTTTAAGTGCTTTTTTTGGAAGAAGGAGACTGTTTTATTGTGCTCCTGACAAAGGCCTGGCAAAAGTGTTCCATGTAGACGCATTCCCAAAAAGACCCAAATAAAAGTCAACAAATCTACAGGCAAGACACTCCATTCAAGGACCTGTAAGGTCTGAAGTAATAAACCCTGAAGCCTGAAGCAAATCATATATTAAGTATGTACTCATTTATATACCTTCGCGCATGCAGCAGCTTCTGTTGAAGCTTCAGCACTAACAGCAGGAAAAGATTCCACTTCGTATTCTAAATCACTATCATCATCCTGCTAGAGAAATTTAACATGACTCAGAATATGGAAAAAGGAAAATGAAGTCGTTTCCTGCAAGTTATAATGAGTAGGGAACTGATAATATACTTTATCATGACTCAACTAGCTTGCAAGAAAATGCTGCACATACTAGCCTCAGCAAGAAATTTGTAATTTAGTTCATACAACTTGAATATATTTCCATGAAAGTTACACGTCTATGCACAATATATAATTTGAAATTCACTATGGAAATATAAACAATTACCATGCAGGAAACCGGTGACTTAAAAGAGCACTTTAGATTTCTTTTCTGTTTTTCCTTTTTTCTATTTGGTCGAATGAGCACTTTATAACTTCATTCAGAATTTAGTTCATACAACTTGAATATATTTCCATGAAAGTTACACGTCTACGCACAGTATGGAAATATAAACAACTACCATGCAGGAAACTGGTGACTTAAGAGAGCGCTTCAGATATCTTTTTTTTTTCTTTTTTCTATTTTATTTGGTTGAATGAGCACCTAATAATTCGTCCATTAGACTAATGGCAAGATTTCTACAATATACATAATTCAAATTCAGACAAACAGGCTGGAAAAATTAGTGATGTCACAATAAATGTTCCTACTAAATTATCATTCCATTTACTTGCAACCATGCCCACAAATAACAGCTCTCGAAAGCCGAATGTACATCTAAGTTAACAGCAATTTAGTTATGGTAACTAAAGAGACGGGGTAAAATTTTTAGCTCTCTCTCCTTCTCACGCACACTCAGCCATTAGAATACCCATTATACTCACAATCCCAGAAACCACATCATTCACCAAAAAATGAAAACCTAATATATTACATATTTATCGACATACAACATTTGTGTAAAAGAGTAGGAACAAACACCATAAACTACGAATGAAGAGAAAAGGGTGGGAAACAGACCAAAGGTTGAGCCCCATTGTCTAATTTGTCAAGCAGAGCTTCACGATACGCTAAATGGCGCCAAAGCATCTGATACTCTCTGGCATTAGAAATTCCAGTTGAAGTCTTGGCCACCAACCGATTCCAATCGATCTTCCCATCAGGTGAGTTCGCCACTTCCTGCAGCAGAGCCAGCACAGTCGTCGGCGCATACCTGCCCATCAGCAATGCAAAAAACGAAAACCCCACATTAATGATTAAGCCCAATTCACCAAACAACACAAAAATATATGCAACATATTGAAATCGATGAGAGAGGGGAAGGAGGTACCTTTGTAAGAGAGTGGCGGTATCTTCTTCGGTGATAAAGCCCTTCTTAGGGTCCTTGGCTTTCTCAAGCATTGCTTTGATCACAGTGAATTCAGCTTCGCAAAATATGAAATATGGAAAGCCTAATTAGCCAATGGAAACCTCTGAAACCTCTGAAGAACCAAACCTTATTGGGCTTTGGGCAAAACCCTAAAACCCTGGAGAGGGGCTTAGACGCGGAGGAGAAAGAGAGAGAATGACAGGTGGAGGGACGGCGGAAGAAGCGGCGGAGCGTTGAAGAGCGGAAGGACGGAGGGGAAGGAGTTTTTGACGAGGTTTAAGGAGAAACGGATTCTCTACTGGCTTCTGTCACTCTCTATCTACTCTAGTCAGAACTCAACTGCTATGCTTTTGACCGAAAATTACTCCCCGTTATATACTTAACTGTTTTCTTTTTATATAAAACTAAATCTAATTACATTTTACAACTCTTTTTTTTATAGATTTCAAAATTGACCATAAAGTTTTTAACTTTTTCACATTACACCTTTATGTTTTAAAGTTGTATTAATGTATACCTTTTGTTTCTTTGATCATCTAATCATCCATCAAAATTGATGAGTTTTTGGTTAATATCTTATAAACGTAGCTTACACGTTAGCTCATATAAAGATTTTGCGCTCAGCATATTATCAATTTAATATTGTATCAGATGTTCAATTAGACCAAAAAATGCATAATAAAAATTTGAAATTTCGTACTACATTTTAAAAATTAACCCAAACTAAAGAGTGTGAAAGGTAGTTAGCTGATAAAATTATGTATATCAAGTCCCTTAAGGAAAGGGATCATTGTTTTTCATAAAAATGTGAACGATTCTGTGAACACGAAATATTCCTGAAACGAAAAAGACAAGAACACGTGTACAAAATAATATTTGTATTTGATGATTTTGGGTTACAATCTTTTTCAAATTTGATCCTCTGATTCGATCTCCGTAAGGTGTTGATTTGTGGATGTGCGATTGATCCAAAGGGCCGTTGGGTTTGATCTAAGGATGAACGTTCTTCAAGGGCCGTGGGCTGGATCTTGAAGATGGATTTGAGCGGATCTTCAAGGAGCCGTTGGGGCTTGATCTTGAGGATGAGCATTTCTTCAAGGGCCGTTGAGGCTTGATCTTGAATAATGGTGATGAACGGATCTTCAAGGGGCTTTTGGGCTTGATCTTGAAGAACAGTGATGAACAGACCTTTAAGGGCTTTTGGGCTTTGATCTTGAAGGACGGTTGGATGTGTGGATTTGTCTACGTTGTTGATCCAAAGGGCCGTTGAGGCTTGATCTTAGGATGAACGGATGATGAACGATGAACACTTTTTTCAAGGGTCGTTGATGCTTGATCTTGAATTGGTGGAAGTTCTTCAAAGGGGTTGTTGGGGCTTGATCTTGGAAGAACGATGAACGAAGAACGAAGAAAGCTTTCTTGATTCTTCAAGAACTTAGATGCTTGAGAGCTTCGGAGTTTCAGAGTTTCAGAGCTTCAAGGTTTTGGTGTAATATGAATTGGTTTCCCCAAATGAATGAAATTGGCTTCTATTTATAGAATTTTCCAAGGCCTAATTTTGAATATAATATTCCAGATGAAATAAGTCGTTTCTGACAGGTGTTGACATGTGTCCTATTTGATGACTTTTCCGACTCATTTCAATTTTTCGTCGAGTCACATGCTACGTGTAAAATTTATGTAATACATGAGCGTTGAAACTTTGATTTATCGGTCAACATTTATTTACCAAAATTTCGATGTCTACAAATGCCCCTACTTCAAGGCGCGTCGTATACATGTGCTTGTCACGTGTAGGAGATGCGTTTTGAAGCCCTTAATGTAGATGTCGATCCAAGGGCCGTTGGGGCTCGATCTTGAATTGGGCTGAAAATTTCTTCAAGGGCCGTTAAGGCTTGTTCTTGAACTTTGTTTGAAATTTCTTCAAGGGCCGTCGATGCTTGATCTTGAAGGTTGAAATTGGACCACAAGGAGCTTCATGTGGTAGATGATCTTTGGCTTTGGTAGTGGATGAATCGGCACGTATTTGTTTTTGCGCTTGTTGACTTTCCACAGCTTTGATCTTGAACTGGGTTGGAGGATTTTCTGGATTCCTCCAATTGTTGACTTTCCATAGCTTATTGTTGAACTGGATTTGATTCAAGGGTGGTGAATCGACACGTGCAGCCTACAACGCCTAGCGAGTCGACCCAAGAATTTGAGGGTCAAAACGAGTCTTTCACCCAGAGTGATCGCAACCCTGATGATATGAGATACTTTTGATTTTGAAGAAGTAGCGGATGAATCGGCACGTGCTTTATTGTGCTTATCTCCACATGCTTCAATGTATCATTTTCGCTTCCTTATATATTCTCCAGGAAAATGTGGCATCTTCTCGAGTTCCTCAGCTCAGACTCCTTCTGCTGAGTTGACTGTGCAGGCTGCATTCTTCCATGCTTGTTTCTTCTGCACGTTGTCTTCACATGCTGCAAGGTATCATTTTCACTTGCCTTATCTGTTCTCCAAGCAAATGTGGCATCTTCTCGAGTTCCTCAGCTCAGACTCCTTCTGCTGAGTTAACTGTGCAGGCTGCATTCTTCTCTGCTTGTTTCTTCTACACGTTGTCTCCACATGCTGCAAGGTATCATTTTCACTTACCTTATCTGTTCTCCAGGCAGATGTGGCAGCTTCTTTGGAAGTACAGCAGCAGTGGAAAACGAGTACTCGAGAGCAATGCTAGGTAGGCAATCAAGGAAGGGTTCCAAGCAGTCGGTTCCTTACCCGAGTTTGAGTGGAGGTTCCAGCATATTGCTTTCTTTATCCTCGTCTTTGCAGGTAAGAACAAGGACAAAGGAAAGGACAGGGAGAACGCATGATATGAGATACTCTTGCTTTATACCCTGGTGATATGAGATACTTTTGCTTTGGTGTTATTTGTTTGTAGAGGTACCCCAAGGAATAAGGAACACTGAGTGACTCGAGAGGCTTCGTTAGGAAGGCATTCTCGGAGATGAAGAAAAGTTATGTATGTCTGCCTTGCTATGGAGGGTGAAGGTGGACAGTTATAGGAAGTTCTTTAATACCTGTAGAGGTACTATTCTTTCACTCGTGTCGGCAACCATTGCGTGATTGATCAGTATGGCTTCA